TCTCTCTCTCTCTCTCTCTCTCTCTCTCTCTCTCTCTCTCTCTCATATCAACATCAAAGTCTAAAGACAAAAAGGCAAACCAAGATGCAACTTGTAAAACCAACTTCACCAACCTATTTTTTATTGCACAAAAATTGTAGAATTTATTTGGCTCTTTATCTTTCATCCCTTACAAACAACATGCACCCAATGGAGTCAACTATCCCCAATCTCATGACTTTCTCATTCATTTGCCTCTGATTTCCTCCCTCTATCCAAAACATACCAATTTTCAAACTGCAAAGATGTTTCAAATGCATCACTCATAGGCTCCTTATACAAAGCAAGTATATGTTTTCTTTTCTTTAGTTGTGCTTGGTAAAATGTGATCCCTTTGTTTGTAATCATCTACAATATTCATTATTCAAATCAATGCCCAATTACTCGGGTTGGGCTCAGGATTCGGCCAATACTCGAGCTGAGTAACTCGGACTCGCCCGAGTCATGTGTGAGCCCCAAAAGGGCTCAAATTCACAAAAAAAAAACGAAGAAACAAAAAGAGACGACAATAAAAAATCAGTAGGAGAACACAATAAGTTATAAATGACATTAGAGCCTACAAAAGATGTAAAAGTATGTAGAAGATGGATTGTGGAAATAACTGATTTATAGCTTGAAACAATTCAGAAAAATCCCTAAAAGAAAGGGGAAAATAGAGCATGAAAATAAGAAAAATTCACAAATCATCATTAAAGACAAAAATTATATAGAGACATATTTGTTCATAGTTAACTAGTTATTTAGTAACAAATTTTTTATTTTTTTAAGAGCTTTGAATAAACCTGTGCTTGTCAATATCAACTCGGCTGGTTACTGAGGCCAAGTAACTTGGCCGAATCCGGTCAAGTCCTCAAACACTGATAATATTTCATTTTTATCTCATCTTTTGCATTAAATCTCTAAATCATTCTTAAGTTTACAGTTGCTTTTCCTACAAATTAAATGTTTTTCTAGTTTTCTTTAGTTGTTTCCTGTAAAATATGAATCCTTTGTGTCAAAACTATCTATGGTATATTTCATTTATATATCATCTGTTCCAATTTAAATCTGTGGTATTCACCAAATTTGCAGTTATGGTATGCACTTGCCAAAACACTTTCTGAGAGAGCTGCCTGGGCTCTGGCTATGGATAGGATGCTCAACATGGTCTCCATCAACGCAGCTCTTATACTTGGACCCGGTGTTACCCATCAAAATCCTGGATCTACCATCTCTTACCTCAAAGGTATCTGTAATTTGTGAATATCATTAAGGATTACACTACATTGCATACATACACGCACACATAAATTTATACATA